GTGGCCTTCGGCACGAGTCAGGGTTTCCTAAATTCCCCCAAAATAAAATATTTAGGTGGCGACTTTGTATCTGGCAAAGCAGTCCATGTTTGGCACTTCTTTCAAAAAATTTGTTTTTCTCAAAACGATTTGCCGGATTTGGACTCTTTGGTTCAGACTTAGAACCGTGACACAAATCGAGTCCGAGCTGTAGCGAGGTCCCCCGCGGGCTGGTTACACAGGCCGACCACCTTTTCTGGTTTACACCACCAAGGGTGGTCGGCAGGTGTCTCCCAAGCCAATACCTGGTTGGCAGCCTTCCCAAGGTGGAGTTTTAGCCTTCTGGAGCATTGTGCAAGTTTCTAAAATTAGTTGCAAACAAAGGCGAGACGAGGCATCACGATGGAATTTACCAACGAGGCGAATCGAGCATACATGCATCTTTCATCATTCGGAACAGAGCTGAGGTGGTCCATCAATTTGCAAACTAGTTTATTGCTTTCCTAGTTAATTTGTTAATTAATTAGGGTTTTGTAATATTTAATTATTCATTCGGACTGTAATTATTTATTCGTACCCTCCGAGCGAGGCCACAATTGTAATAAGTGTGCGTGTGTGTGATGTTTGTCTTCCAACCCCACGTCTTTCTCCCTTTTATTTACCAGCTTATGATGGTTAGATTAGGGCATGTTTCAATTAGCATACTTATGCTCGCATGTTTGCATCCATTCATCTGTCTTGCATGCACCGGGTTCGGCGCATCATACTAACTGCATCGTATTTCAATTCCGAGTTGAATACTTGTTAGTTGTAGCATTTCACATGCCATCTTTAGAATTGCCGAGCCTGTTGTAGTTGCATCCCTACATGTGTCGCATTAGGCATTTCAGCATAGTTAGGATCATGCATGAATCTCTAACATAGCTTCTGTTTTGGCTTGGAGTACTCGGTAAGTATTTATGCTTTAACTTCCTTCCATGTGTGTGAATGACTGCCATGATAGCATGCTTACCATGAGGCTATGTGCTTATGTGATATACTTGTCTGAATGCCTGTGGGTGAAGGTTGGGTTGCTTGACTTGGGATAATTCGCTGAAACCCGTGTTTTAGCCTACTTGCAAGTAGCAAACTTCAATCCATTTTTAAAATAAACGGATGTGCGATGCTTTGTTCCAACTTAGGCAATCCAGTATATACTTGTATACTGTGCGTATCACATAGTAATTCTAGGCTAATAAACCGAAATAAGAGCACATAATGTTTTCAAAACTCGATTTCATGGTTAGCAGAGGTCGATCTTTGATCGGGCGAGCGGGGGTGCTCACGAAGTGACCTTCCCCAATCGTACCCAAGTTCTCGAGCCGTGGCAACTTTGGTGATGACGGACACGTGGCCTTAGGCAAACGAGTCAGGGTTACCTAAATTCCCCAAAATAAAATATTTAGGTGGTGACTTTGTATC